TTAATATAATGCTGAGAAATCTGCAACATAGCGGCTGGCACCGGTGTTGCCAGAGCAATAATCCTGGACAAGTTCCTGACAAGATTCCCTACGACTGGAACACTATCAAGGGTTACTGCAGAGCTCTTAAATCTAAGCAGGCTTTGTTTTACTTACTGGATCCAATCTTTATATTAGCAACTGATAAATAAACAAATTGCGAAAAATGGTACTGAAACAGAGAATTTGTGTAAGGATGCTCAGATATATATTTGAATGCTAGCACGCCTGTCTACAAAATACTGTTTTGAATTCCACTGTCTAACAAGATATCGGTAGTGAAAGTATACAGCTTGTAAGCTACAACGCAAGTCAGCGCTCTGGAAAAAAGTCAACCACACAAACTGTAGTATCCAAACGACACCTCAGATTCTTTTTGGGCAAACAGTCCTCTACTCAGCCAAGCTGTGGCCAACGACCCACCTCCTATTCCACTGAATACAGAGTTTCTATCAGACAAAGTGAAGCCTACTAGAGAATATTCTGAACTGTTCACGATGTGTCCTTAACAACTGAATGTACCACACCCTATTGCCCGTCTTACCATCGACGTCTCCAAGAATGATGAACTTCTGTATAATGTGATGTTTTTCCTTGGACTGCATCTCAACAATCTGCAAGAAAAGTAACAAAGGAATTCAAATTTTTATAAATTTAAGAAAAAGGCAATATTTATACTCCATAACCCAATGAAGGCATCGGACGAGTCACAAGTTAAGTGTAACCAAATCACGTCTGATAAACCTCCCTGACCTACTTTTTGAGGACTTTGTCAGGGCTGGTGGATTTTTGAGCCCATCTTGTCATCACTTTCAATAAAGACCAATGTACACAGAGTGCAACTGGTTTGCAGCGCAGCATTGAATTTTGAAGTGTTCCAGACGGTTTCACTCAAATGCGTACCGGATCAGGCTCAACAAGTAACAAAAATTTATTTATTTTTCCTTTCTTTTCTCGCTTTACCTGTCTTGGGTGGGACTGAAGCTCTTGAAAAATTCTTGACGGTGAGAGCCTGAAAAAAGATGTAAAAGAATGCATGACTTGGGTTTGAAGAGCTGAATGAGTAGTAACCGTGAAGCACTTAAGAGGTTTAATGAGGACCCCTGCGGCTGACAGCAGAACAAGATAAGAATGCCCACAGTGTTTAACCACTTCCTGCCGGGGCAGTTATCAATGTTGATGATGCTGGGGCGGGATATTTATCATTTTTTTCTGTTTTCAAAATTCTTGTCTAGTTTCTTGAGGAGGGAACTGATGAGAAGATATTTCGTTCCCTCCTGGGCAGAATCAAGAATCATTACCCACTTTGGGGTACTTCCCAGCTGAGCTGATGCCAACATCCAGTCCCACTCCTAGGTGGAGAGAAGCAAGTAGGGTAACGTTGCTTGCTTGAAGACACATCATATGGCCAGGGGATGGATGTGAACCGGTGACTTTTGAATCCCTACCACTCAACCCCAGCCAACCTTGCCAAATTTGAAACAAACAAAAAAAATTGGTCTAAATATGGCGACGGCCACCTACTCTTTCTCATAGTAAGCGTCTGGCAGGGCTTCCAGCTCCCGGCTCAGGTTCAGCTTGTCCCGAATCTCCTGCTCCACCTGGCGATCCACAAAGACCTTGAAGTAGGCCCACAGGCAGTCATCCCAGCTATCGCAGGCCGGCAGGAGCTGGGGTGTGAACAATGCAAGAACCCAAGACAGAGAAGCGGTGAATGGAGGTGAAGATAGGATTGTGGTTAGAAAAAGTTGAGGATGGGATTGGTTAAAATTTCTCAGACAACGGGATCAACTCACATCTACCGTGGAGTATTTGCGTCAGAAAAGGTCATTTTAACTTTGTGATTGACATCTCGCATGCAGTATCCTACAATTAACCATATGCTGTTCAGTATAATTGGATGATCGGAAGATTTGGTTTTGAGGGTTTAAAAAACTCATCATTGCCACAAAAAACAAAATTAAACTTGTGCACCGAAAGACAAAACAGCTGCCAAATCCTTGCGCGACTGGTGCACAAATGTCAACTTTGTCACAGTGCATAGGAAAAAAAATCGCGCCTGCATGGTATACTCCGGGCAATGCACTGTATTCAGAACAGACCTCAAACATACTGACGTTAAGCTTTGTTTACGCGCGTGCTTTCCTATGGGGGCTTGACAGATCATATTCAAACCTCGTACCTCGTACACAGTGCATGACATCATTACGTTATAGGTCTATTGTTCCCACTGGCAACTGACAATAGGTGGAGTGCTCGACCAACAAAGGATCAGTTGCCAAACTGCCCATGAACATTGTCTCACCTCTTTGAGATTCCCACTGAGGGCGGCATAGATGGCCCGCTCGTACACATTGAATCTCTCGTCCTCTGCCATGCGCCAGCACACCGACTTCCAGATGTCACGGTACTTGTTGCCTTTAATGTGCTGCAGCTCCCCTGTGGCTGGCACTGTGCCAAGAAAAAGGCAAACGATCAACAATTTTACGAAAGTGGAGAGTAAAGCTGTGGAAATCCAGTGATGACATTTTAACCGGATGCAGTGCAAGAAGAGTTCTCACAATGTTATCATCAACGCTGATGTCTGAAAAAGTTGCATGGAGATGGCAAATTTAAACACTGTAGATATGAGACCTGTGGCTTACATAGCCTTGATCACTAAAGCATTTACACTGCTGCAGTCGAGTCTAACACGGGCACTTTCTAAAGTCCCCGCACCAGTCCTTTCATAAGACCAGTTGTGGTTACAGGTGAAAAAGACAAAGGAATGCTTGTCACAGCTCGTTTGACTAGCTCTTGACTTGGTTTAGGACTTGATATCTTGTGACGGACTTGCTGGGACTTGTGATAAGTGCATCACTGTAAAACACTTGACTCCCTTAGGCTTTGGGATAAAAGCTTTCTTTTGAGGCAATCTTCTCGAAAACACTCAGAAAACTGAACACCATGGGATTTTCAGTGCCTGTTGTTGTCCGACGCTTTCAGAATGTTACCAGTAGAAGGTGCCTTGAGGCACTCATTGATATATGGGTTTACCTTCGCTGATGTTGGGATCGTCGTACAGCCTCCAGCCGTCCAGTGTCGCTGCCCGCCACGACTGGCCGCACTTCCGGCAGAGCCGCTGCGCTTCCTCCATCCGCCCCGCCCGGATGTTGCCAAACACTTCGCGCAGGAGACGCACTTCATCCTCCTATGGAGATCCCCAGTGAAAGAGCAAAAAAAAAAGCGTAAGTACAGTTTTACCTCTGAATAGCCTACTCCACTTTTAGCAAAATAAAGTGGAACACTGGATACAGAAGCAATGCAAAATAGGAGTAGCCTCGGATTATCAATGAGCTAGTTGCAAACAGACAGGGCGTTGGGCGAGAATAAGTCTTGAACTGCATCATTCCAAAATCTGAAACCTGGCACCTAAGTTTGCGGCTCTGCTGAGAAATTCTCCACTGGCGACCACCACTCCGTCCTTGCAGCACTAATACAGAAAGTCCGCATGAACACCGACAGCACAGAGAGCTTTAGGGGTATTCCACAGAGATTAGCAGCGATTTTTGCATGCATTAAGTGAAGCTGTAAAGTTGGACCGAGGTGGTTTATCTAACCTTATAAATACCGCTGCACCCTGCAACTGAAGTCCAAATACAGTTCAGGTATAAAGAATTTTCAACTAGTTGAATGCCCGATGGTGATCTTGGAGTCTTTAACAAGGAGAACACAAATTCGTGAAAAAATGTTCATGCTGAGAATTTGCAGAAGTGGAACATCTTCCAACTTGCGTGGATCTCAACCTAAATGCTTCCTGGTAAAAAATCTGTTTTCCCGCCAAGTGCACACTGGCTTGACTACTTCCACAATTAGGTTTTTTTTTGTGAATGCACCTTGTCAAGGTCAGCCAAGGGTTTGCTCTCTCTGATGGGGGCATCTGGGTCCAGGTGAGACAGTGAGGACTGTCGCTGGCCAGTACCAACCTGCCGCTTGAGACCATGGAGAGTGTTCTCCCTGAAATATGACCACACACGGACTTCTGAATCAAGGAAGCAAAACATAGCAAATGAGGAACATGGAACTGAGCAGTGCCACTCCACAGGTTGGTCCAAATTCAGAGGACTCTGATAAGTGAAATTCATGAACGTTTAGCAGGGTCATACATATTCTGAGACTTGGTAACCAATGTAAAACAGGGAGCAAATCCATCAGACAGATGAAAGTAACAAGGCAAGAAAGCATTATAAAATGTCCCCATCTGAAGGCTTCCAAGGAATATGTACAGCATTGGCCAATGGAAGCTTGAAGTGAATGTGTACTGAATGTAACAAAGGGAATGATAACCAACTGGAAGTTAGAAGTTAGTTTGCCAAACCTTGACCAATGTGGCCCTTGGTGAGCCTGTTCTTAGATTTGTTCACCAGATTCAAGGGGGGATTCATTCCTACCAGCAGATGGACTTAGAGTAGAACTCGGCCCTGTCGTAGCCGGATCTCAAGACATCTTGGGCGTTCTCCTCCAGCCAGTCCACCACGATCTGGCTCTGTCGGACTTCGCTGTTGCCTAGAAAGAAGGCCTCCATGATGTCCTTCTCACTTTGGCTTGGTGTCTGTCCGGAGAACCACCACATTTGGGTTTTAAGAACATGACGCTGAACAGCGTGGAAATGTGCACCTTTCAGAAGACTTGGCTTGAGTGGCAATAGGAATGTCAGTGCTGACATGTGACGCTATAGCAAGTGTTTGCACTGCGAATCGGCGACACACAATGCTGTGTGACAACAGCATTGCGATCCTATTTGCCTTCACCAAGACTGTGAGATGGCCTTTGAAGATCTTCCCAAAAGGATCCACTCTGCTTTTAAATGCATCTAAAATTTATACTTTAAGTACAACACATCTTGCAAACTTTGCAGTCGAATGATCGGAAGTGTCACCCAAGGAGCGCTGGCAAACTTGCCGAAGAGCTCCCTCTGTGGTTCCTACCTCTAAATTGACGTCCATATCCTCTTGGTCATCCTCCAGCACGCTCTGTCTATCCTGATATAACGAGCCAATCAGACGCCACGAACATTTCTCCTGGTCAAGCAGGCGCAAGACTTCGACGGTGCGGGCGAACCTTGGCCCAAAAATTTTTTTAAAAAGTTAATCAAAAAAGAGCAGCGGTCTAAAATGGGTGGACAGTGTCTCAAACTGCAGAATTAGAAAGTTGGGGAAAGGGTTCGGAATGTTAGTTTTTGTTCAAGTGACTTACTTCTTGGGAATGCCATAAGATGACGTCACGCCTGCCTTCCGGACAAGGTTATTGAGCATGTCCACTTGTTCCATGCACACCTCCTGGTACTTGGCCACCAGTGTGAAAACATCAGTTGGTGACTGGTGCTCGGTGAAACATTGCATGAACTTCTCAAAAAGTCCTTCCGAAGCTATATACAAGAGATAAGACATAACGTGGCTAAATACCGTCAGCAAAGCAGGAGACTTAGAAAGTCAAACACACTTTGTTGTTTTTCACAGATGTTGACTCAAAGAGGACTGAAAGCAGCTTAGGATATAAAGAGAATGAGTGAAAAAAATTCATGAAAAATCCAGGTAAAACTGTCCTGATCATTTGACATTTTGTATATATTCCATTGATTGTTGAATGTTACAAATATATACATTTTTTGAAATTAAATATTCAGAGGTGAAAATCTGTGAAATAAAAAAAAGGAAAAATTTCAATTACTTGGTAACCAAATTGCATTCTAGAAGCATACTTTGAGGTGTTACAAGTTAACTTTAAAGGCTGAGAGCACGAGACCAACAATAAAGCCAAACATTTTTCCCCTTAATTTTCTATTCTCACTTTAAACCAAACATGTAAATTTCTTCCCTGTTTTTGTGGACATTTCGATTCAGCTGAATATGCAATCAAAAGGTTGAATATTCAAATATTCAGTTATTCCAATTGACTAAGCCTTAGCATTAGACAAATAGCTTGCAATGTTGAGCTTCTAAAGGAAAGCAGCCTTCGTGAAAGAAGGCAACGCCAAGACTATCGTCAGTCTGAGCTTCTCAACAAATTTGGTTGTCTTTCAAGATAAGAGTGCAATGCTGAACATGAAAGTTCCTTTCTGTACCTGCTATGCCTGGGTCTTCCGCCAGTAGGAGGTGGACATTGGTGCTGGTGAAGTCTTCCGTGCTACCCCCTGGCGTCTGAACGGCAGTGGATTCCAGGTCTGCCGCAGTGGGCTGCCGGGGTGTGGCCAGGAACAGGGAGGTGTTGAGGCGTGTCTGGTCGACCGCTGACAAGTTGAACTTAAGAAAGTAGAACGTTCAGGAAGAAGTAACATTTCACACGGAACCGCTGCATATTGTTTGATAAAGGTATGATTGTGTTATTAATGAGCATTTTTCCACAAAAAAATCTGTGCATGTGTACCAGTGTGGTAGTTGAGACTCCCAAGACCATCTCGGGACCCCATCACAGGACCAACACAAGACCTCGTCTGAATTTTGGTCACAAGCAATTCAAGTGAACTGCGACAAAAGCATGCCTTTGCCACTGTTCGCCATGCTCCTTTGACTGGTCTTGAGATGGTCTTCACTAAAACACCACTGAGTGCAACGTGTCCGTCATACTGGAGGTATCTCATAAATGCACGGGTCCACAGTGTTCAAGACATTTTTGAAGCAGAAGCTGTTTTGATATCTTGTACACCAACAGGCAGTGCCAACTTACCGTGGGTCCTGGAGTCATGAGGGACCGGCTTGGCGTCTGGCCCATTAAATCCGAGACATCGAACTGGGAGGCTGTCGGAGGGCGTCTTGGTGTATCTGCGGCCAAAATAAGAATGTTATTACTGAAACACGTATAGAAAAGAATATGCACAAGATTGAAACTCCTGCAGCAATTTTGTTCATCAGATGAAAGTGTCTAACAACCTCATTCCTTAGAATCATTACTCACATGTGCTATGCTTGAGTGCACTGCCTGGTGTGCGGGGTACAGGATGCCCTGGGGTGGTAGTTGTGCCCGTTGCTTGATCAAGTAGACCAATGGCTGCTGAACAAGTTACGGTTCAATCTTTCAATTGGAATCTTCGGTAGACAGTTTTAATTCTTAAGTCATGAATCTGCACTGAAAGTCACTGGTAAACAAATTTGGGGAAAATCAATGTGATTCCTGCCACAGCAGTCAAAATTCGCATCCTCAATTGTTTGTGCATTTTGGCTCTTCTCCAGCCCAAACTCAAAAGATTTTCCTGCTCATTTGAGACACAATCCGGCGGCTCTCTAAGGAGAATAGGGTTTGAGAAATAAATGAGCTCACGCAGCATTTTTGCTAGAGTTGTGGATGTTAAATGGGCATTCTCAGTTTCGTTGTCTTAAGGGCGGTTGGGGCAATTGACTCTTTCAAAACTATTTCTGTAACTATATTTTAAAGATTTTAATAATTATTCCGTTCTTGTCTTGTCTTTTCATAATAATTTAAAAATCAATATTGGTGTCTTTAGATCTTGTATTTCGTCACCAACCCCACGAAGTAACACAAATCTACAGATGTGTGTGCGCTTCAACGCGTATTTTATAGAAATGTGATTTTTTTCGTTTTCACGAAGAGGAACAAATGTCTTGCGTTACGTGCTCCGTGATTTGCCCTATTCAGAAATCGATGTTCTCCTTAATTTACACAGTTACGAGTTTTAAGAGCATTTTGCTTCAGTTTAGTCACCCATTTACGGGGAAAATAAAATCATTTTAGACATTTAAAGCTTTTTTTCTATGCTATATTGACAAAAACACACATTTGTGCTTCTTCATGAAAACGAGATTGTTCGATAATGCATGAGTGTACAATATGCGCCGCACACACATTTGTGTCACTTCGTGAAACCAAAACTGCTCTAATCACGCTTTTCACGAACTAGCACAAAAGTGAAGACGTGTGTCAGTTCATGGTGTTGGTGACGAGTTGTAGATATTATGACGAGATCGATTTTTGTAGTGTGAGGTGAGGGCCCAAATGCCTCACACTACAAAGGATGGGTTATCCTTATTTAGGATTGTTTTACATACACAAAGCAACCAGCAGACAGCATTAGAACATCAATTGACAGTAAAATCTTTATGTTTGGTAAGGATACATCTCCTGATGTGCTCTTGGTTGAGGGTCCGACTCATGTGTTCCTCTCTGGGTGCTGGGGAGTTGGAAAATTGCAAACTGGGAAATGACAACCGGTTGCCTGGTCTGTAGAAGGCATAGCAAAGGAGAGAAAAAGTCATTTACAATGGGTCAATGAGCTGGAGTGTTCAACAAAACTGCATTTAGGCCTTTTCACAAGAGACAAATCTCGGGGTTGATGACTCATACTTGAAAATTTTCAACCCTGCGTCAACCCTGAGATTGATTTCAACTCAGACTTCAACCCTGTTCCAGGTTGAAAATTTTTGGTGCTCATTTCAAGGTTGAACTCACCCTGAAACACCGGGTTGAAAGCGAGGTTGAAAAATCAAACTTTCAACCCAGGGGAGTCACAGATTCACCTAGGGTTGAGTTCAACCTGGGTTGACAGGCTGAAGTGTGAAAAGGCCTATTATTTAGGGTGAGCGATTAGGGGAGGGGTTCAAAGCAGGGTAAAAACTAATCACCTCAGGCCTTGACGAACTGCCCGTTTCCTGTCCACAGATTCGTTCATTGTTTCCGCATTAAATCCTTGACTCTGCCCCTGTGAATACTGAAAGCAAACAAAACATAACAGGACTGCTGTTACACTTGCTGATCACGTGTGTGTGTACATGTACATAGATATGGGGAACGATTGTTTGAGCCTTGCATTTGCACTGGCTCTGGACTGTCAAGAGAAGACTCGGCCCTACAAAAAGCTCATTGAAAATTGTTAAAATCGCCACGGCTCAACACGGCTCGAGTTTCTCAAGCAAAAAGTAGGCCACTAGGGATGGTCAGGACTGGTCACTGCTCTATTCTGGTACTGGGACAATGGATTCTCTCAATATCTAACACGGTGCAATACCAAAAACGTGGTGCATATCTACACAATCTCCTCAGCAAGGTTTACTCAACTGAAATATGTGCACGAACCCTGTTCCACATTCCAACTGGAGATTACATCAAAAGGACGTAATGGAGAACAATATGTTCCAGTGACTGCCCATTCTATTCAAATTTTAACTGGCACAAAATAGTCTATCGATTTAAAATCTGACCCAATGCAATCATGCTCTTTTTTGGCTACTTAAGTTAATTAACATTTCCCCGACACATATCCCTGATGCAAAAGTACATGTCTTGAAATAATTTGCAGTGCAGGCTGCTACATCTGACTTGGACTGGCCCAAAACTCGACTCCAAAACATAAATGCAAACAGCTTTGCAAAAAAACCCAAAAAACTAGTGACTTACACTGACAGTTATGTTCATGTCAGGTGTCACGATCATCAAAAGTAAGGTGTGATGTGACCACCGGTAGAAACTCAGGTAAATGTTAAAAATGTCAAAAAAGATTTTTGTAGATCAGCTGCGCTAAATTTCCTGCAAAATACATCATCCCACGGGCGTAGGCGTATTCATAATATTTAGTAATTTCAACACAGCATTTATGGAATAAACCTTTTTCCACGTTTGCAATGCGTTAGGGGTTTGGTAGACAAACAAGCAGTGCATTTTATGCACAACCCTATGGGGGAAGTGAACCAGTCAGAAATCAGTTTACAGTTTTCGACTATATATTTTTATGTATCTGCTTAGTAAGTCACAGATGTATGCGTATTACCAGATTATACAAGAAACATTTTTATATACGTTTTCAAATGTTTGTAAGCAAAGAAATAACCCTTGGTTTTGTCTTTTTTTAAGGGTACCAGTCACTCTATGGGCTGGTGACTGGTCAATGCAGTATGAATGAGCTACAAATCGTGATTTTGATAGGACCATAGAGCATTAATATTCATGATCTTAGTCAAAGTAGGGTCCAAGACTACAAGTGGTGTTGTTGGATGGGATTCTCCAACTTTTCCTTCTCTGCCAAGCTTTAAACTTCGAAGTTTGTGAATATCTTCATCCCAAATCAATAATGCAACACGTTGTCAGAAGGGGGTGGCTTGAATTGGAGTATGAAATAAAATGGAAACTGATTTAACATTTTGCAGGTGCACTTCTCCCATACGGTTGTGCATAAAATGCATTGCATGTTTGTCATCCAAACCCAGGTCTACTGAGTGGAGCGATAGTATTCCTCAGGGATCAGTCATACTAACGCTCCGCGGCAATACTTCGTAAAGTGACGACGGTTGTCAAAAATTCTAGAGACTCACCAAAGCCCTTTTCACCACCTGTGCCTAGTGGCTTTCTGAAATAGTTGTCACTGTACTAGATCATATGTTATGTCGTATGACCGATCCCGTCCAAAATTCGAAAAAGAGGAATCAAACACTCCAAACCTATGCATTTCTAACGTCTGAACATTGAAAAGGTCTATTTGGCTCAAATTTTGGGATACATGCCATAAATGGCACTTGTGAACGACATTTAAGCTGCCTCCACCAGGTAAAACTGTGAGAAAAAAAAGTTGAAAAAAATTTTGCGATGGCAGGAGGACTTCATCGCCTGGGCGTTAGCTGAATGCAATGCATGGAAACTGCAATGTAAACGACGTCCACTGGGCTAGTTGAGCATGCAAGCAGCTGCAGCATGCATTTGTTGTCTGTACTGTAGCTAAGGCATGCAGCATGGCATTGGCAGGCAAAAATCAAACAAGAATAGAAAGGTCTTTCATGCCTTCCATATGTAGCCCAATGTGGTATCAACTGGTTCCTGAAAAGACACAGACAACCGATCTCCTCCTTCAGGTCTCCTCGTCTGGTACTGCCCGTGCTCAACCGGCGACTGACTTGTCGATGTCCAAGGCTCACACGCTTCCTTTCTGACTCCCGCCATTGTTATTTCATCGCCATTTCATTATAAGCTAGCCAGCTTGGCGCGCCGGCGCGGCGCGATCGAAATAAAATAGCTTTCACTGTACATAAATTTTCATATAAGAATGTTTAATTAAACTTAATCTGATAAACATTAAAATACTTTTAAAAACGTAAAGGCAAAAATCTATTCCTTTTTTTTTTTAAATTTAATGAACACTGAAGTTAAATGCATTCATCGAGGCTAGAGGTTAGCGATTGACCCAAGCAACGCAATACCAATGCAAATTTCATCCAATGAAAGGTTAAAGAAATTAGTCATTACTAGTTTCAGTGTGGGTACGAACACAAGCCTAGTTGTTCGCTGCAGTATACCACGCCGCGTGTTCACGAGGTCGTCTAGATACCTGGGTACGTTACATTTGACCGTGAACGTATGACCTACGTGACATGCATGATTATGGTGTGACCCTGAGACCGAAAAGCGTAGCCGTATTGTCTAAGTAAAACTAAAAAGTCTTCAAATATGTCGCGATTTTGTCAGTTTATACCTACAAGGTACGGGTGTCCAAAGTTTGTTGACAATTGTCTTTCAGTTTCAAGACTCAAAGGTACGTAAAAACTTGTGATCAGATTCAGGAGGAGAGAGATATGATTCAGTCAAATTAAGAATGAATGAACAGGATGAAGCTCGCTTGAACCATGGAGGAAGGAACACTGAACTTCAACTTAAGTTCAAGTTGAAGATCAGTCCAGAAGTCTTGAGCATTAGCCTATTGTCTGGGCCATTATGGAGGCCCTAGCCGCATACCCCCTTAGCCTACCGCGCCTGGCTGCGAGTGTGCGGTGATGTTGGCAGTGACGGTTGGCCCGACTAACTGACTATATGACGAACATGACATCTTTAACTTCATGTGGCATTTGTATGGGGCCCAGTATTTAGTCGTAGGCTAGCATTACAAAATACACAAAGTGACAAACCCTGTGAGACTGATCTGAAAAATTCTAAGCTACGTGTTCTCTAAGTAAACGACTTGGTTTTTTTTCTTCCCAAACTGAATTTTTCTGGACATATTTTTGCTTTCTGAAGGATAGGCCTAGGTCACTGTAGGGAATAATTACTGGTGTCTGTATATGGAACTCTTCCCAAATATGATTGCATAGCAAGTAATGATTTAATGGTTTGGGTCTATAAGCAGGTCAGGGACCAAACCGCAATCTAGCGACGACACCAGACTATGCATACGCTCCTCAATTATGCAACAGTGGTGTAATTTCTGAACTATTTTTAGATCACGGTTCACAGATGACATTGCTCTCTTTATCGGCTGAAAACTTCAATACAAATTTCTCTGATTGATCAAATTTATAGGAAACATGCTACCTCAGATCTAAATGAAACTTTCCTTTCATTTGGTACACGTATTTCTAGAAGTGGATCAAGGAGATTTTTTTGGTTGAATCTTGCACTGGAGGTGTTGAATTCAGTGTGTAGGCGAGTTCAATTCTGCCGATAAAAATGTTTACGCAAAGAAAATTAAGCTTTGCCAAAGTTCACTTTATGCACGAAAATGTTGCCATTAAAAACTTCCATCGATTCACCGTGGCACATTTTATGTTTACCGTGGCGATTTTCCAAAATAGTGGTTGGAAATAATTTTGTCGTATACTCTGATAGTAATGGCAACGGCAGCCAGCATTTAAAATCTCGTTATTTTTCCTAAATCTTGTGGGAAAATAACATTATCAAATGACCTGATAAAAATGATGTCATTGGAGCTTGAACAAGCTACAGTGTACGTAAGCAGAAACTGGGGACGTCACTAGTAAACTTTGTGGTTTGGTCCCTGACCTCATAAGCAGGGGCTTTTGAACATGGAATACAGACTCCACTTGACACCCTGTGAACAAACCCTGTGAGACTGGACTGAAAAATTCTGTTTTCTCAGTAAACGACTTTGTATTTTCCCTCCTAAAATGAACCTTCTGGACGTGTTTACCCTGTTGAAGTTTGCCTTAATGGGTACTGTGGCCCTCTCACTTTTTTACAATCACTTTTTACCATCAGGAGTTTTGTGCTGTAGTTTTAAAGATTTTGTAATGATAGAAAGCTTCCCATTGAAATGGTATTTATGTGTAATATGTAATATTATGTTATAATTACACTACTAAGGACAATCTTCCTTGTTTCTGACCACAATGATCCCAGCAGTTGGGGATGGATATGCAGCATGATGGTGTGTGAGTTGGTTTGAATAGGTACTTTCTGTCCATACTCTTTGTACTGTGCAATGGGCCTGCTGTACCCAATCAAACAGAATCACATAGGTATTAAAGGGCAATTCTAAGGAAAACATGGTTTTTTTTATTTTTATCTGTTCAAATAAATTGGAAACATTCAAATCTAACACACTGTCGTTTGTTTTCAGAGCTCAACTATAACAAGCTAAAAGGGCTTTTTTCCTGTTCATGCCAAGATGCGAATTCTGAACGTGCTGAATGTAGATTGCGTCATTATGAGAAAACAGAGAAAACGAGGGGAACCCTTGTCCTGTGTTCATAGTGGACAAACCCTTGGCCATTGTTTGGCGTGCACAAGAGAATTATCCACTACGAACACAGTACAAGGGTTCCCCTCGTTTTCTCTGTTTTCTCATAATGACGCAATGTACATTCAGCATGTTCAGAATTCGCATCTTGGCATGAACAGAAAAAAGCCCTTTTTAGTTTTAAAAGTTGAGCTCTGAAGACAAATGATACTGCGTTCGATTTCTCTGCTTCCCTATTTATTTGAACAAACAGATTAAGAGAAAACATATTTTCCTTAGAGTTGCTCTTTAAGACAGGTGGAGTTTGTGTGATTAGGGACTGTAAGGTAGGAGTTTGATTTCAAGGTGCTGGGGTTTGTGTGATTAAGGAGGGATACCACCAACAGTCCTAGGGCAGTTAGGGTTAACATGCTTAAGGCTTATCAATATGGTAATTTTGGCCCATAAAAGTCTTCCTTCACTTTACTTCTTTTTTAAAATCACTTTGGCATTTTTCTGCCTATTTTGACATATCCTTGGTTGTGTCCATTTATCTTGTTTGATTTCAGCTGGGAGTGGACCCTGGATTCGGGCTGTTAGTGCTCTACCAAATATATTAAACCATGAACAATACAGGTATGAAAAATAGTTTTCGATATTGAGCCCTAATTATGTGTGGCTGTAGTTAAATGTGAAAGGAACTCACAGAATGTGGAGCCAGTTGTGTACTGGTGGTTTTTTTCGCCTACCCTATGTCATCAACAGAATACTTTGGCCCCTAAGCAGTTCACGCATGACCTGTCCCCTGACAAACAAAAATGTGACTTGACCTAGTGAAATTAGCCGCAAGTCACCAGAGCCAATTTTGGGTCGAAGCCTCTCGAAAGAATCTTGTACAATGCAAATAAGTGGGCTTCCCAACATCCTTCACTCTCAAAAAAGTGCATTTTTTTCAGGGTGCGAAACTCAGTGATGTATCAAACAAGGAGCTGAGTTCTTTTCTTCACAAATTTCTGGGGGGGAGGGAAATTGGCTAGAAGATACATTTCATTGGATCTGGTCACAGATACATGTGTATTGGGGGCATAACAAATGCAAGAATTTACTTTAATTAACATATTTGTTTCTTTCCAAGAGTATATCACTGTGCTGCACCAATCAATCCTGAGCTGGTACCATTGCGGAGACCCATACTTTCATCACAGATCAGCATGTGCTGTTTATATGAGTACCAGCAGCCGAACAGGACTGTGCCTCTCGGGCGACCTGTACTTAGGTACAGCACGACCGTTTTATATTCAAACGGCAGGACTCGCTTGCCGCACGAACGAGGGTTCCACATATCCCGGCCTGCTTGGAAAGAACTGGATGAGACAGACACCAAAATCGAGCAGGCCGTCAAGGTCCTGAAGGAGAAAAGGAAAGAGAAGGAGATTGCCGAGATGGTCAAGACTATGATGCCGTCTCCCGAGCAGGCGGCAGACCCGTCCACTTCCCAGGAGGTGGCCCTGCCCAAGAAGCCCCTGATGACCAAGATCATGGACGAGATCAAGCATTACTGGAACGGCTTCCGCCTCCTGGGCGTGGACCTCAAGATTTCTGCCAGGTTACTCTGGAGGGTTTTGAATGGACACGCCCTAACGAGACGGGAGTACAAGCAGGTGCGTCGCTTGAAAAGTGCATTGTGTGTCCGGATTGGAACTAATTTACATAAAAGGCACTGTACGAATAATCATCTTTATATCTCCTTTCAAACTGTGGCAAGATATGCTTGACCGTGTTAAAGTGATGTATTGGCTGAGTAGCACTGTGCTTTATGGGGTACGTTACTTGTGCGTAGATCTTAATACATGCACTTGTGCATGTGGGACATAATATCTCTAAGCTTGCTAAGTGGTGTGAAATAACAACCCTGACAGGGTCACAACTCATGAGATCTCAAAATTGTCTTTATTGTCAAATATGGTTCTCTCATGTCTACGCTGTTGAATGCTACAGCATTAGATGTATAGCTTGTACTGTAGGTTAAAGAGACAAAATTGTTTATGGTAAAATCTTGGACAAAATAGCTCACCTGCGTTTTACTTGTAATTTGTTGTAGATTTCAACTGAAGGTTTTCAAATTTTCTTCTCTCTCTCAGTTCACGCGGACGGTCTCAGATCTCTTCCGCATGGTTCCCTTCTCCGTCTTCATCATCATCCCCTTCATGGAGTTCTTGTTGCCGGTTGCCCTCTGGCTATTCCCGAACATGTTGCCCAGCACATTCCAGTCCCGGTCGGACAAGGTGAAAAGAAAGCCACCCCTAAAGACCAAAACATTTAACCTCACTGAGAAGCCGTTAGCCCTTGTCGCAATATGAAACCTTTTCGTGGTTTAGACCCGTTAGTTTGCAGCGAAGGTTGATGTGCAATTTGTAGCTTGAAATGTCTTTCTAGTTCCTGTTTACGTTGGTTGTTGATGAAAGGTTTTTGTGAAGCCTTGCTTTTCTTGTCAAGTTAGATTAGCACCCTCTGGAGGCAATTAGTGGGTTGATTTATAATCAAATGTGTGAATTAGTTTACTTGACAGTTATAGGAATTGCATTGACTTGTTAGCCGCTTAGTTTTATAGTTAGCAGGTAATCAGTGTGGTCGTTGGCATCCCCGCAAGTCGATCACAGGTCACCAGTCTTAATCTGTCTTGAGTCAAGTCACAAACTATTCAAGTGAAATGTGACATAAAACATTCCTCTGTCATTGCTCACAATCCTTACGGCTGGTCTTGTGAGAGGACTCGTGAAGGGAAATTTGACAGGACTTGTTATTGTCTTGACTTGTTATTGGCCAACCGTGCAGTGACGGTGACTTTGAAAACTTGTTGCATTGTGGTATCTTGCATACCCCTCTTTGGTTTGCTGTCACTCTGTCTGATGTTTAAATAAAACGGACCTGCGTTGTGTTTGATGTCCCATCGCGGGTGCACGAGGAGAGGCAGATTCGTTTCCAACATCTAGGATTGTCTTCTTTTCCCCGGTCTCTAGGAGAAGAAGCTGAAGCAAGAGCTGAAAGTGAAGCTGGAGATGGCCAAGTTCTTACAGGACACGATCGAAGACACCGCCCTGCAGAGCAAGAAGCCCAAAGCCACAGAGAGGGCCAGACAGTTTGCACACTTTATAGAGAAGGTACAGGCCCGACCCCAGGAGTTTTCAAAAGGCAGTGGATACGTAGCCGTCACTGGCAGATTTAACCAAATGATATTTTGCCAAGCACATGCGAAGTAACTTTTTTATGGGGACTTATAAATTCTTAATGTGACAAATCTTAAGTGAGACAAATTTGTGGTAACGCCGTGTAATAATACTATCTCTTTTGTGAGAGTGGTTCTGAGAAGAACCAGTGTAGTGGTTTTTCTCTACGTTTCGAACAGCGTGCTCCATTTGTCATCAGGACATCAGTGACAAATCTTAGTCGGGTTCTGTGCCACCATAGTTGTTGTGACTTAGTATTCGCAAGATGAGAACCTGACCACTTTACAATTTTTTACTATTTTCCTTCAAAAATTCTCCAGAGCCATGAATCAGAAAAAGAAAATGGTGTACTCTGATACATGACTTAAAAGATTACAAAAGAAAAATTCTTAATTTTTTGGGACCCCCCAAAAAGGACGACAGCTGGGGATCGAAACCAGCTTGAAGCTTATTATGCCATCGCAAAATGTGTGCATTAATATTTGTTTATACGTCTATGAGGTACGTAGATGTAAAGTGGAAACTTGCTTTTGAAATTGGCAAGGCTGTGTTTCTTGAGCAAGAATAAATGAAAAAAATAATCCAAACATCAGCCAGACCACATTATTATGGAAGCTCAATGCGTACACGTTTCCTCCCAACCAGATACGCACCAGTGGGGAGCAGGCCAGCAACGAGGAGATCATCAAGTTCTCCAAGCTGTTCGAGGACGAGCTGACGCTGGACAACCTGAATCGCCAGCAGCTGACGGCTCTGTGTCGTCTGCTCAGGCTGCAGCCGGTCGGCACCAACAACTTCCTGCGCTTTCAGCTGCGCATGCAGTTGCGATCCCTCATGGCCGACGACAAGGTGAGAGGTTTTTTTGTTTCTTGTACACGCTGCTTGCAATTTTTGTCTTCTTGTTTTTGTTCTTTTTTTCAGTTGCAAACCATAGCAATATCAGCGATTCAGTGTCGTAAATAAGGGGGGGGCACACGAAGGCTACGTCGTGCCTCCTTCCCCATGGAAATCCAAGCTTCCCCCTTTTAGATTTTGAAATGTACACAGCCCATGCACGAGCCACAGTTAAAATTTCTTTCAGTGCACCTTTGAAAAAAAACAAGAACACCCCGCATTCCCCTCATTTCACCCTAGTTATGCCACAGCAGGTAATTATTGACAAAAACCATTTGCTGGTGGGGTAATCGAATGGTTGCCCTTACACCTTTGAGATGGAAATAAACAAAAAGTAAATACGTTTTGTCAAGTGAATAGACAAGTCGCTCAAAATGGAGGAGAAAGATGCATCTTTGCCCGACTTAGTCTGAGTCCCTTTTGTTCTGCGACCTCTTTGTTTTCAGATGATCCAGAAGGAAGGCGTGGACAGCCTCACTGTGTCCGAGCTGCAGGCAGCGTGCCAGGCCCGTGGCATGAGGGCGTTGGGTGTGCCGGTCGAGAGACTCAAGTCACAGTTGCAACAGGTGAATTCACGAGATTGCAAACTTAGGCTGCATCCGAATGTCTTGTCTAGAGCTAGAGCTCTGGAAGCCCAGTCTTGGACACGGCCTGTATATTCACTTTGGGTGTTTCATAATTGTGTGACCCCAAGAGTTTGTAATGCATTGACCAATCGCACTGCGTGAAATCTGTTGACCCGGCGTGCGTTTGGAAATGTATGACAGATTTTGCACTTTGCGATTGGTCAATGCGTTGCAAACTTTTGGAGGCGCAGTATTGTGAATCGCCTGTATTCCTTATGTAATCTATTATTGTGATACTTCTGTCAGAAATGTCTCCCAAGTCCTTCACAGATTTGTCAAATTTAGGATTTTCTGTCAATGTGAGTTTGTGTAAATATCATGTAAAAGAAACATCAACAAAACAAGCAGCCAGTGCCCTTGTTACAAGATGTTATTTTAGACTTTAAAAGACCATTAAATTTGCGTTAAACCACCTCCATAATTTGAGATACTTGACTTTAATTTTGACAAGAAACTGTGTACTTACACTGTCCTTGTCAGGTTTCGGAGAAAAAAGATTCATCCAAGAGTTCATCCAAGAGGAATTAAGTTTACTTAATGCTTTGATCTGTGTATGGCCACAGTGAAGTGTTTTTAACAACCGGTGCTTTTTTCTAGTGGCTTGATCTTCACATCAACGAGCAAATTCCGACGTCGCTGCTGCTCTTGTCGCGGGCATTGTACCTGCCGGAAACGCTCTCCACCCCTGACCAGCTCAAGGCCACTATCGCCTCTCTACCAGAGGCAACGGTAAGTGACATCCTGGACCGCGAACAAGAAATCAGAAGAATCCTGATAATGCAGTAGCAAAGCCAGTGTGCCCAAGGAGTGTGATCTCTTCAGATTTTAACTAGATTCCGGACTTTCCCAAAATTCTGTACTTTTAGATTTTTCATCATTCAGGTTTTGCTACTTCGTTGGACTTTGTGCAAAGGAGCAAAGTGCAAGATTCATTGCACTGGCAATAAGAACTCATGCTTGTCAGCTCGTAAAAACCTGGATAAATTACATTGGTTTTTTTTTTCTGCTAGGTGTTTTGTGAAATTCTCTTCATCCCCTAAGATCTCCCCCCAAGATTGCAGGCTCAGGTGCCAAGATCCAACTGTCTCTTTTCTTTGTGGAATTGTTGAGATGCAAAAGGATTGAAACTCCAAAATTACATGCTCATTGAACAAGAATATGCCAACAACTGGTCACTAATAGCATAACTCACCATTGATTTTCTTTGAACAATATTTTTGCCATTATAGCATTTTGGCATAGATTCCCCGTGGCACGCAAACTTGCACACTTGTCCAGTCTTAGCTTCTTAGTCAGAGATGGAAGATAATTGAAAGTGCTGTAATTGGAATTGTACAGGCTGAAGAGGCCAAGGTGAAATTGGCCGAGCTGGAAGGCGAGAAGGTGGACAACACGGACAGGCTGAACATCATCCGCAAAGAGGAAGAAGAGATCAAGAAGGAGATGATGGAACGGGCAGAACAACAGGAGCTGGAGAAAAAGAAGGTAAAATATCGGAGGGAGGGTTAAGGGAGGTTTGACAATCCATTCCTCATCCAAGAATTAGGTTTTTTTTAACATCAGGTTCTATTCAACCAGCAGTAATTAAACGAAATCAGGAGATGTCAAGAGTATTGCTTGTCTTTGTGATGGAAGGTGAAATCTGCCTTCATTTATTGGGGGAGAGCCACTGTTCTGGCATATATTTCCCTTTTATCCACCCAAACGATTTTGTATTCAATGTTTTCTTGCCTGAATGTTCTTTTCCATGTGCTTTACAGGTTGCCGAAGCCATGGCAGCAGAGGAGTTGGTGGACGACGCCAAAGTTCAGGCGCAGCACGTCATCATGGTCCTCAGAGAACCTCAACGGGTAAGGCAGTTTTTATCTCTCTCTCTTTATCTTTATATCTGGCGACAGCTTGAAGGTTCAGTCGTGATTTGGTCACTCCAGATTTTTGACCCCTTCTGACTCTCTTTGTACCAGTGAGAATTAACATGGGGTGCATATACATTTGAAATGTCATATCATTTTATACACGTGCCTACATTCAAAAGCAGCTTTATGTTGCATTCGGATTGCGGTTAGTCGAAACTCCTTAAAACCAGAAAAAATGATTGCCAAATACCTGTGCTAGTTTCAATCAAACATGTTTTGCTCTTCCTCGTATGCTTATTTGTAAGACCATGCTTGCAAATCAACAAATTTCAAGTCACAGAACCAACATGTACTTTTTACATTGTCTTGTTTGTTGAGCGGTAAATTATAAATCAACGGCCTAAGCCTCCATTTTGAATGCGTCCATGTGTGCCCAGTAAGCTCACGTGTGCTTGCTGCCAATTTTGTTTCAACTTGTAGATGGAGGAAACTACTGAAACAGAGAAGGTATGAAGTCACGTGACCGAGTTCCAATTATTCATCTGCTTGCAAAGCTCGCTTGTTATGCATTTTCATTTGGATTTGTGTTATCATTTTCCCAAGCTTGCTTTGGCTTGTTTCATTCAAATAGATCACATTTTATCACCACAAACATCGTAAATTATGATCAAACGCAGTCGAGCGTATCAGTCTGGTCCTGCAAAACGGTTTCCTTGGTTTGATGGTTGTTGTGATGGTAATCTGCTTATTTGAGATAAACTGGTCAAGCATGCAGAGTTTGCACGTGCGCTTGTAAGGTGGTTGAAGCTGCCCGTAGGAATATATGCGATCACCGTGGCCATGGCGGTCCACACGTGGTGGTATTGTTTACATTTAGCGCAATCCAGTCATGTAGGTGAAAAAGGTCTATTAATGTGTGGTGGTGTTCCCTCACTGCCAAGATATCTTTCCTCTGCCTGCTTTACTGCTGCTGCCCCTATAGTTCATTCAACAGGGAACGTTAGAAATGGGATACCTATGTGGCCCAGTAAAACCGTTTGGTTATATCACTATTTTCTGCAGTTATTTCAATACAAATAAACATACACATGTATATGGGTAATTCCAGAAATTAGGGGTCCCTTTTTTTTCGTGTCCCTGTCACATCTGACATATGATTTTGTCTTACATATGCTTTTTCTAATTTCCAATACATATAGGGATGAATTAATCCAGATTACCTGCCAAACAAACAGTAATAGTTTGAAATCAATTCTGGTGATATTTTTCCATGTCAAAATTAACAACAAAGGTCAGATGTAACTGGGATGCCAAAATGCCGCACTTTTCGACCCCAAATTTCTGGAATTACCCATAATTGAGAACATTGCTCGTAGTGCATTGGATAAAATGACCACACAAAATAGTGACATGACTGGCCAGGTTTTCCAAACCACATACGCATATCATTTCTAACGGTCGCTGTTATGAAGGCTAGCCATGCAGTCGTTGGTACATATTTGCAAGTTTTTACAGGTTAGTTATTTGATGCTTTCATCGCTGGTTGGTTTCTTGGTTTTTTTACAGCTGCTTTTACTTTAAGAGGCTTGCAATGTGCTTGCTACTTCAAGCTACATATTTTGTTTATTTCCGTGCAGATTGTATTGGCATCAAGATTGCTTTTGCTTAACATGTTGACTGCCATGCCTAATTTCAAAGGGGCGTTCCCATTTGTCAAGTGTTGTACGCATGTGCGCATATTTAATAGGTACCTTGGAGGTGTCTGTTTGAACATTAGCACTGCCAACAGCGTGTTTGTTGTGTTTTTCAGTGATGCCGGTGTATTCAAATTGCATTACAATAGCTATTCATTTCCTACGAGTATATTCGTAGTCGGCCGTCAACGTGTTAAAGGAGGTTTTGTGTTGTGATGTGCTTTCCTCCCATGATGCTCTTTGGTCATGCAATATTTATAGGCTGTTATTGACCTACAAAGCTCTATGCATTTGATATGCCTTTTCACAGCATCATTTTTCCCTGTTTACATGATTTCATGTCCGCTAACACTTTGGCTGAATTTCCTGTTTTTTGAATAGACCCTCTGAATTACTTATCAACTTGAAATAAGTTGAATCACAATTCTGACGTCACATTTTGGCATTCATCATAGGACTCTGCCAAGATGGTTGAAATTTTCACGAATGCAAGAACTTAAAAAAACCTGGTTAGTTCATTCCTCTTGCTCTTCCTTTCTCAACCTGTCTGCATCGTGCAGGCAGACGAGGAACTGATGACCAAGGAGGACCTGCAAGACCTCGGGGAGGTCATCAAGGAGATTGCGGAGGAGAAGGAGAGCATGCTATCCGAGAAGGGTGAACTGCAGGAGCTGAGGCAGGACGTGGAGGAATACAAAGAGGTGGGCATTAAGAAAAAAAAAATGGATTGATTGAGTCATGTGGGGTAGTAGCACAGTGGTATCTGGGAAAAAAGGTTGTCAGATTTTTTTATCCTGGCCCTTCTCCGAGGTGCTGCTGCAGAGAGCAATTAATTTTTACAGGGTTCGGGCATTCAGTCGCTAATGTCGTCAATTAGGAAATGTTCACAAACTTTGCCTATTAATCTGAGCAGTGGACAAGAAGAAAAGTTGCATTTAGCACAGCGTAAGAATAGTTTGTGTTTAAGCACACAGATTGTGTGTTGAGCTGAAACTTTGCATATTGCTTAGACTTTTCCAGCAGGAACCCTATATCATGAGAGAGCCTCTCAAGTCCATGCAGATGTGATTTTTCACTATAGCACTGTCAGAACCAGTGGTGGGGCAAGCGTTAATCTGTGACAATCCAGAGGACAGTCGCTCAGGGTCCATGTCTGAGGAAAATCTAATAGAAAGCGAGAGCTTCGGAAGGCTGCCCTCTGATTTTTAATAATTCCTTTACTATTTTTTTTTTTCTAAGTTGTGCTTGTCTGCCTATCCGATACATGTTTTTGAGATTCTCTGGATTGTTCCGTTGTCGCGGCAGGACCTCGCGGACCTGAAGAAGGAAGTGGAGGTGGACCAGGAGGACGTGCCCAAGCTGGTGGAGGCCAAGTCCTCGGCCCGGCTTGGCAAGCGGGTCAACCGCATGGTAGCCCGGCTGGAGAACATCGTGGCCGAGCTAGAGGTTGAGAAGGCGGCGCTGGTGAAGGAGAAGAAAGAGCTGAAGGCGGACTGGGAGCTGCGGATGAAAGAGGAGCTGGAGCCCGACGCTGAGATGTCCCAGAAGATGGAGAGCCAGCTGGATCTCAAGAAGTGAGTTGGCGCGCTCATGCAACCCCCCTCAGTGGCACAGAGAGAGAGAGAAAGATGCTGGTCAGCGATCATGGGCACCTGGTGCCAAGGCGGAGACCACAGACTGCAGTAGAAATATGGGACACTTGCTCTGCCCCGTATGCGCCAAAGTTGTGCATGTACATGTACGTGGTGTTGCCCCCGAAAACAGGATTTCACTGCTGCGATAACCACTTGCTGCCGGGTGCCTTTGGAAATGCAGTGTCTAAAACCGGGCGATATTCAATATGTTCGGTGTTCAAAAATCTTCAAAAATTCATATCTTTTTTCCTGAATACCTAAACCCCACTAAGTGACTGTCTGGTGGCTACTCTTATCAAAACTGGCACAGTGCGCTGCTGGTGTCTTTTCAATAGAAGCCAGATTAGCGTGCAGCGGTATTGTATTGCTCAACACTGGAGTGCTGGAGCGCTTTTGTCCTTGGTGGTCATTCGCTCACACTGAATGCCACAAACAGTGGTGTAATCTTTCAAAACAATGAAATAACACTAGAAGTTCAACTTGGTACATACACAGTTTAGCCCTACAAGATCAACACCTAGAGAAACACAGTACTTGCCTTGATAAATTCGGAGAGCATCACGTTCATAGAGAAAGGGTAGAGGGAGGAAGTCTGAAGAAGTGTGTTTTGATTCCCTGTCAACAGAAAGAGCATCCTTAGGGTGGAGGAGCTGGTCAACGCCATGCAGAAGTTTGGCAAAGTGTCGGATGAAATGAAGCTGAAACGCATAGTGGAGGTGCTGGACGAAGACAAGGATGGCGTCATCAACATACAGGACGCCATGAAGGTACGATCCAAGGATGATGAGTAAGAACAGAGGGCTTTGCAGGAGGGGGGAATTTGTTATGTCTCTCCATTTTATTTTTGTTGTTGTCAGTATAAGACTGTTGTCTAGTTGGCAAAAGAAGCAGGCCAGAAACGTCATTAGTATCAAAACCTGTAAATTACCTCTCACTTGGAATGATACAATCTGGTGTTGGATGATTTTTATCAACATAGTTTCCTCATAAACTTTGACTGCACTCCCCTTCCTCTGCATCTTGGCGTTAGGTTATTGAGGTGATTGCCAAGGAAGACATTGCCCTCAGCACCAAGCAGGTTGGGGAGATCATGGACCTGATTTGCAAGGAGGAGATTCTGGCCGAACTGGAGGAGGCCGTAGAGAGAGAGGAGCAGGCTGCCACGGAAACCGCCAGCGAGAAGAATGCCTAAAAACACGGGTTTAAAAGTTGTTATTTATGTTTTTATATTTTGAACATTCGACAATTTATATTGATGTGTCTGAGGGTATTTTTTAGTCAGACTCGGCAGATGAGGTAAAAATGATTGAAGCTCGTGTCATGCGATTTGAGAATTTTGGGTTTGAACCCTACTAAAGGACTTGCATGATTATCCTTGAGCAAGGTACTTTGCGTTGTCTGCTTGGTGGAAGCTGAAATCTCAGATTGAAGTTCAAGACTTGTGATTGGAAGGTTAAAGGTTCAAACCCTGCTGAAGGCCACAACTGGTTATCCTGAGCAAGGTACTTTGCATTGCCTGCTGGGTGGGAGCTGAAATGTTGCACCTATTGGCTCCTTGTAAGAGCTGCGTAAGGGCCGTGCTTGCCATGGCACTTTCAGTAACAAGGAAAAGCCATTTTCTGGGGGGGGACACTCTAAGTCTGGTCATGGTTTCAATGACCTCAAAGTTTCACCTTTTTTTTCTGGATGGAGTGAGGGGAAGATGTTGGGGGTTGCTCCAAGTTGTTTCTTGGGTGCTTGAGAATGTCTGGCTTAATTGTAAACTTTCAATCTTAGTTTTTTTTTGAGTTGATGTATATTGTTCTTATATTGTACTGGATGATCAAATTTGAATATTTTTTATCCATAAAGTGGTATTTAGTATATGTAAATACGTGTACCTATGAAAACATACGTAGGTGGACTCCCTTTGTTGGAAAGAACAACCCTGTTTGTTTCTGTGTTGAAATAATGAGAATGAAAACAGATTGAAAACATGACATAGTTCACATAATTTGAATATATTATGTATTCGTAATGTTGCAAGGGTGCTTTGCTTGTTAGTATGAGGCTGTGTCCAAACTAGAAGGGGGCGCTTTGCAGCCTTAAGTACAAAGATTGACTGTGTAGTGTGCTCACAAATAAGACTCGATCCAGTGATTGGAGTCCAACTTGAGTCACCTTGGTTTGGCGACTCAACTCAAAGTCCCAACAAGTAAATGACTCAAGTCACTGTGAGTTACTGACTCGGCACAAGTTGCTATGTCAAAATGACCTGACTTGACAGCGATTTGTGTCGAGTCATTTTACTCACAGTGACTCAAAATTGAGTCATTTACCCATTTGGACTTGAATAAGCCAAGAGCATATAATTACCAAAGCTTTTCGTTCGCATAATTCTTGGACATTCTCGACAGTGATACTTTTCTTCCATGAAGGAATGTGTTTGGGAATGTGACTGTGGACTTGACATGACACACAGAAAATGGTAAAAGAAGACTGAAGAATATTTTTGAAATAATTGTTTTTTGAGTGTTTGAAATGAAATGTAACAAAAAATATGCTGCATACTTAATGGAAATCTTCAAAGATGGAGGTGTTGCAGTGATTTTGTTCCAGTTATGCAACAAAATGATGTCTGTTATAGAAAGTCTGTCTCTCAATTAAAAAAATAAAAACAGAGATAAATGTACTTGAGAAATCCCAGCATATGGTGGTACATAAATGATGATTTGGACAGATGGTGCCCCCCAAAAAGGTTGAGATAAATAAAAAACATGATTGATAAAAACCAATGGCTATGTTGAAATAATCGATTTCATATACTTTGAAATCCTTGTTTATCCTTGTTATAATAATGTTTGATTTAATCCTTTGAAAAGATCATCTTGTTCCTATTTCCTCCTCTAATTCTTCATCCTATACTGTTGATATCCTGGGTACAGCATCTGAGGAGCGCAACATATCTCAGAACACCAAGACAAGCAGTGCAACTGAAAAGTGAATTGAAAACCCATTAGTGCTTCGGAAATGTCAAAAGATTCTTTTGCATGTGTTTGTTATGAATTATAGCACAATTAGCCTCTTGATGCGGCATTTCCCATTCTGTCACAACTTCAAAGTGGTTGGATTGCTTCTTGCAATTGCTTTAGAATTGTGGGTTTTGTTCATTTTTTTAAGCATGCAAAACTGCCACAGAGTACCGAAGTGTGACGTCATTTTGAACCAGAAATTGTAGTGCAAACAAATAGTGTACACGAGCATGTTGGTTCACATGCTGGTTACACACACGTAATTGTGCACGCGACGTATTCACTCTATGTTTGAAGAGGCCTGTTTACTGATGACATTGCACTTTGTTTTAAAACCTGTGTGCTTTCCCAAGGAGCTTTGAATCCATTATCCCCACATGGAAAAGTGCACAGGAATAAGACGTGTGACATCATCGGTAAATAAGCCTATTGTGGCAAGCTTGCACATGCGGTGAAATGCGATATGGTTGGAGGTTATAAATTGCCTCAGGTGCCGTTTGAGATATTGGGGGTGTGCCTTAGAATTGATTGTTTTGTTTTGGGTTAGTTTCATATTAGTTGTTTGGAATGAAAAATTTGATGTTTCTTCGTATGCAGCTCCTTGCAGTTATTTGTTGACGGAAACGTCACGAATGGTGCTGGGATAAAGATGTGCGATTTGTGTTTTTATTTTAATCCATGAAAAGGCTTTGCACATTATGACAATGCAAAAAATCTCTTTTAAGATTCTGAAATAGGTAAGCCCAAGCAATCAGTGATGTACAGTAGAAATGTCCAGTAATGAATTATATCTCAGACACTGAAGTATGTGCTATGAAAAGTGGTTGCACTTTTGTTATGTGAAACAGCATAAATAAATGTATTGAAATGAAAGGACACGGTGTTTGGAAGTCAATTCATGCCTCTCTCTCCGCCTTGAGCAGAAGCACCTCTTCATCGGTTGAAAGGGCCATGTTTGTCGGGAATGTCCATTTTGCTGAACCAGCAAAGTGCAGTTCTGACCAAATGAGCTGCCGTCGCCAGGAAAAGTGCACCTTCTCATGGTCTGGTTTGGAGCTCATAGTATTTTGTGTCAAATAATAGGATATAACTGCTATGCAGCAACAGCGGGCGTGGCATTTTTACACCTTGCGCTCTACATTTTACAGTGGAGTAATATTCAGCTGATGAGTGCAGTGATAGTATGCCAGGACCTCTTCCACGAGGCGCTGAGTGTCTGGAGGATTCCTCAAGCCCCGTCCCTTCCACTATAAGGTCTCTTGTTTACACATACATGTACATCAGTTTGGAGAAGACTCTTGTTAACTTGCCAACACTCATTACGCAGACTCCTTTATCTATCTGATAAATTTCTCTTGCATATCTTTTCTCTCTCCTTTGTGCATTTTTACAGAGTGTGAGATGATTACCCAAACAACCTACGAGTGACGCTGACTACACTGCTACACTACACTGCAGGGCACCAGTCTGCCGTATGTGCCATTGATCTACAACAACAGTGATAGAACATTCTGGAATCTGCTAGCTGCCCCGGTAGCTTGTTAGGACTGACTGCCGTGTTAAAACTACAAGATTGCAGGCTCAGAACCCAGCTGAAGATTTTTTTTTTGTTTTTGCAATTCTTGTAAGATATTAACGGTTGATATAAAGCATCTTTGTGGATTTGGACATTAGTTTCGGAAAGGAAATATAAAACATGATAGCCCGTCTTGCTTTGACCATCTTTTACACTGTCTTAACAAGCAGTGAAGATATATGTATGGCAAATTTTTGTCTTTTTTTCACTGTTTGAATCCAAATGCACCGATCGGAAAGATTCACGGCTGTGCAAGTGTGACGTATTGATACTTGTAATGGCTCTTAACAAGAGGGTCAAGGGTTCCAATCCAGCTACTGCCAGCTCTCGCCCGGGGGTATAAATGGGTACCGACACGAGCTGGGGCGCAACTTGTGATGGACTTGGTTCCCATGCGGTAAGGAAGAGAAATATTCTCAGCGGCTTCATGACAAGGCAGCCGCAGATAAATGCCGGCCTAACGAGCCAAATTGGCCCATGACAGACGTTGCTTTGCACCTGCAGTTTTTCTGCTGGTCGAAGAAAAAAATGGGACCAAACGGAAGCATTCAGAGGGTAATTTGACTGTTTCAACATGACTTCCTGGCCATTGGTTGGACATTCTCCTTGAACCATTTGAATTTGGAAATAGTAAAATGACAGCATGTTCCTTGTACATATACACAACAAGGGCCCTCTCCATGTTACAATGACTTTGGCTGGAATGCCACGCTGAAAATCAAAACAAAATTGTGGGGATTTTAGAGGGAGGCGATCTAGTGGTCAAAGGTCACATCCTGCATCCTGGATGGTCACATCCAAATCTTTGAACAAACCTGAACAGAACAAACATGCAACACAGCGACAATATGCTGCCCAAATCTATAATCTGGTCCCTTTTTCTGTCCATTACACATACAGAAATGCATAAACATGTTCAACACTTGTCATCAATTCAGTACATGTACAATATATGAAAATATATTACGCTATTTAATCCGTCATAAATGTGCATTAGAAATTATGAAACATACAAATACAGATAAAAATATGACTGACTGTAAATTCCTAATCACCATATTGCAACAATGTACTTATACTTCATACTGATTATACAATGCACAACTCTGCTTGGAAGGAGCAAGACAGACACTGGTACATAAAAACATGGTTTTTAATCAACACTATAGAAGCTGTTACTGTTCTCATATTAGAAATTTAAAAAAAACAATCAGTTTACCTGATGCAACTCCAATGTCTTGGACATTTAAATTTATCCCAAAAAAAATGCAGTAACCACCACTTAACCAATTCCAACAATATGTGACGTGTTACAATAACCAGTTCATAGAAAATAGTGAGACCAAACAATTAGGAAGCCCTTTAAATATATTACACTTACAATACAGGCAATTCACAATAGTGTACCTTCAAGAATTTGCAACGCGTTGGCCAATCACAACGTGCAAAATTTGTCGACCCTTTCCAAACGCGAACTGGGTCGACAAATTTTGCATACTGTGACTGGCCAACATGTTGCAAACTCTTCGAGGTGCACTTTTGTGAAACGCCTGTATTTATCAGCCTTATTTATTCAAACCACACCCCTATAATAAGTAATCATAGTACTGAGAAATGCTCGATCTTATGCATACACGTAGTCCGTTTTTTTCCTGAATGCTTGAATCCGAACTGTATTATTTTCATCAACATAAAAACACCAGTGCAGAAAAAATCAATTTTATAACTGGTTTTCCAACATTTAGAAAATCACCAGCTGTTTACAAGAAAAGACTGACAGTGGGTAGTAAGAACTGTTCACTTCTTATTAAACATGTCATTTCTTGTGGGAGCTTTAAACTTCATTTCTGACCCAACCTCTGAGCTGATTGGCAAGTCACCAGCATCATTTTCTCGAGTGACGTGACCTTAATATTCCTGTCTTGAATACTATATTTTCATTGGTCCAGAATGATCATGTGACTGGTCAGTAAAAATGCATATTTATACCCTCATCCAGATCATTTTTGATGTCATAGACTAGTCCCTGCCCCACAATCTAAGCCATAATGCAGGGGTCGCTAACCAGACTACTTGTATCTATTGGAGCATGTGCTACTTTCCCTTGTACAATTGACAAAAGTTAACTCTAGAGGGAGCCGTGAACCAGCAAATGATCAACTGTTAGAATGCTTTGTCAAGTTCGAGTTCATTTAACGCAAGTTTGTTTCTTCATACAAATTTCTTAACATGACGTTTGCAGAGATTGATGACACACATCCCCCCCAAATGTTTTTTAAGAGGGAAAGACACTGCTTTTGAGCAAGACATGGGCGACAAAACAGAGTCCATACATGTCAGGCAGCAACCGACTGAGATACTTATCGCTTCAACTGACGTTGAAATATTCCAGCTGAGGACAATGTTGCCACAAGGAACTTATGACGGAGGTATAACACAACACTGACGGCTGTCTTGTGGGACGCCATATTTTCAACACCCTCAGGGCTACATATCACCCCCTTCAGGTGTTCAATTCGAATTTCACATAACATCAGTCAATAATTGTTTAACAGTCCATGTTCCCATCCAGAAATTGTCTGGATTTAACAGTGCACCAGACAGGATGGTGCATCAATGTGATTGAAGGGGCGAGGAATGTTGTTCTACAGCATGAGAATACATAAAGCTATAAAAAATGCATCCCACACTCATTTTGTGGGATTCAGATACTTTTGAAAATCTATACAATTTAAAATTACATGTTCATTTCCATACAAGCATTTTATAACATCAAATTTCAACAAAAAAGGGTTGCTTCTAGTGTAAAGATTAATACTGCACGATAATTTGCATCCAGCAGAATTTTCATGGCATTAAGGCCCCCTTACTAAATTGTTCAAAATGTTTCTCGCTATCCAAAAATTTTTGGGGGCCATTCTGGGCTTCACGGAGAACACATTTTTACTCAAAATGTGGTTGCAACGGCAAGAATTATGCAAAGAGAGTGGAAGAACTTCAAATGCACTGAAGCTGAGTTGAGTACTGGCCAGTCTGGTTGAGCAAAGTGTACTCTGGGGTCAATTAGGACTTTCACAGACCTAATTGCAATATGGGCAGGTCAATTGCAAACCAAAATTAAGCAAGACTAAATAAAAAGTGTACAATCCAAAATTTGTATTAGTTGACAAGTGTGCTAACTCCTCCTTCCCTTTGCAGAGATATTTTGAAGCTGTCCTGAGCATAGATATTTAGAATTCATGTGCATGTTTGTAGAACATAATGAAATAGGATGGAACAAATTCGGAATAATGTACTCTATTGTAAAGGGCAGGTGCAGTATTCGTGTATTACATAAGTGCTTTTCAATTGATATAATATATCTGCAAGCCTTACTTCACAAATGCTTATTAAAGTGATTGCACATTTGATATTTTGGTATACCAACTGTGATGTCACATCATTTTTGAGAATACACGCTCACATATATGCAAACAGCTTTTCAAACAGCCACACAAATTCTGAGTTTTCCAGAAGTTTATGCACAAATATGGATATACCCACCAGGCTTTGATTTTGCACAAGGAGTTGGTGCACTTGTAATCAGGTCCCCAACTGATACCTAAAAAATGCTGGAATATGGTCAACTTCATGAAAATAACCAATTATATTTCCTTATTTTCAATAACACTATGGAATAATTAAAAAAAAAAAAAAAAACACCAACAAAACCTGCCCGTCACAACAGTGCCCTCTACAATCCCGCATAGATGGGGGCGCCATCCTTGGAGACTGACGACAAGAGCGACTTTTCCACTTCCAGCTTGGCACGTGAGTGCCGGAGGCGTCTCACGACACATGCCAGGGTAACGACAGCCACCACCAAAAGTAGGCCGATCACAACGTAAAAGGAAGCCTCAGGCTTGCAATAATTCTGAATGCAAAATGAAGCAAGGCTAAATATGAGTCACTGTCTAGAGAATAGAGATGGTCGGAACACAACAGAAATTACAAGAGCCTGGGCCCTTTCCTGGTACACGTACATGTATAGAGACATATCTGACCACGGCAATGCCATCACTGGTAATTTGCACTGGCCCCTTGTAATGGCGGCAAGTATTGTGAGAGCTACTGTACAGAACCACTCTTCCGTGACAGTCGCTCCGTACAAAACCCAATGCAATGGTTACCACTACTCAAATGGCCATCAGGAGTACCCGGTGAAACGCCAGTGGCTTCGTCTATAACATAATAGTACCACAGCATTTGTAAGGTGCACAATATCTCACAGTGTCTATCTCTCAAAGGCACTGATGCATATAGTGGGCTCACAACATCTGAACATTCCTGATCTCAGCTTCCTGGGGAGGAAACTAGCTCCAGCCATTTCAAGATGTAAATGGCTGTAACACTTTGACCATATCTGCCCTCACAGCTATCCATTTACTCCTGGGTGGAAAGAGGCACACAGGGGTAAAGTGACTTGCCCGAGGTCATAACGTGTAACCACCTGCCAGGATTTGAACTCCCGACTCTATGATTAGAAGTTACAAACCCTAACTAATAAGCTGCATATCCCTAGCCTCTAAGACACAGTAGTCACATGAAACAATCTCAAAACTTTAAAGAGCAAACTGGAACATCTGGTTGCATGTGCCAGTGTTGTGACCGAGACTATAACAAAATCCAACACAAGACCAGACACAAGACCGGACACAAGACCAGACACAAGACCAGACACAAAACCAGACACAAGATCAGACACAAGACCGGACACAAGACTGGACACGAGACCAGACACAAGACCAGACACAAGATGGACACAAGGCCGGACACAAGACCAGACACAAGATCAGACACAAAACCAGACCACTTGAATGGCTAGGGACCTGAATGCAGACTGGAGGTTTAATGCTGGTCTTGTGGGGATCTCAGCCACAACACTGTCGTGGTTTTGAGTCACGATCTCAATGATTCAGAATCTAACAAAATCTAACAAAACAATTAATATAAATGGCACTTCATGAATCTGGAAGAGTAAGGATTCATTTACAAGTACCAGATTTGAAAATGTCAAAATGAACATTTGAGTAGTTTCTACTTCTGTGTGAAACATAGAAACACTCGAAGATCTCCAAATTCTAATCGATAATTTAAGCCGGGGAGGAGGGGGGAATATCTGTCACAAAATTTTTCTGAATTACCTGAGGTGTTTTAGAGAACAGAGGCGAGCAGGTGAGGAACTTTGGCGTCATGCTCCCTTTGGGGCAGTAGGCCTCCGGGGGACATTCCAGGGGCTTGCAGTACTTGCACTGAAAAAGAATGGATCATCCATACCAAAAAGAGGGAAAAAATTCATGGAGCGAAAATTCTAATGTACCTCCGGCAATTTCACTGTCCTTATTGGTTGGAAATCTGTCACATGGACAGTGTGCAGTAGGCCTTAGTTAAATAACAATAATTGTGGATTCTGAGAAATCTTTGGCAAGTGTTGATACAATTCGAGCAAGCAAATTTATGACATGACCTGCCCTATTGAGCAAAAAAAAAAAAAAATTGTCGCGGCCTGCGACCGAACAAGGATTGCTCAATGTGGCTGCGTGTGCGGTTCTGGTAGGACCAGGATAAAAAAAGTGAATTTCGACCCCTGACACTACACGTTACAACTCTACCTTTTATATAATATGGCAGATCAAACCTGGTAATGGCAGAACGGAATTGATTCTGTTATGACATTTTGTCCAAGCACTTTTTTGGTCTAATTTCCCACTCTGGGTTGAGAGTTTGTCACATTAAATGGCCATTAAATGGTTGATAAAGCACCGTCCGGCTTTGCACCACTCCATGCAAAAAAGGTCAAGTGCACGATGATCTTTAGACAAGGAGCTTGTTCACGACTCCTCATGCGAGGCACGTGCTACAACGTGTCTAGAGGGATGTTTGACAAAAATGCATTACAATTGTCGAACAAAATCGTTGGAAACTCATAATTTTTTAACTTGTTTTGACTTTCCGACCCAAAAAGTATTAAGAATGGGGATAAAATACATGCATGTGCTTGGCTAGTCTCTGGAGAACTAATCCTCTGATACAGCTCGGGACATTACTGGCATCCATTCTCCTGACAGAACCCAGCACTTCTACACTGTTTCACTCACAGGACAGAAGTACCCAGCAGGGCACTCAATGCAGGTGGACTGGCCGGTCTTGTTCTGGTACCATCCATCTCTACACTCAGTGCACGCATGGCTACTGGCCACCGGCTTGTATTTGCCCGAGTCGCAAGGGGTGCAAGACTTGGCCCTGTCCTTCAGGGATTCGTGGCCAGCCGGACAGTTGTAACAGCTGGGTGGACACAACAACTCGGCTTGATTAAGATTCAGTCACAGATTAATTGTTCAGTAAAAGGGTGTATTTTAAAAACCGTAAAATATTGTTTAAATACAGAACACACATTTTGATGAGATTATGTGACTCATCAACAACATGATGCTCTTCAAAGGCATGTTAGGAATACGTTTAAAGCAATACTGAAACAAAAGCAAATATTCTTTCAGTGAGAGCAGGAAATATTTTCTTGAAGAATATTTTAAAATCTGTTTTCTCTATCGTGCAATTTATTGCAATTTCCGAAAAGCTTCAGAAACTATCTGAAAATTCTCTTCATATAGAACCAATAGGTGTGTAGGAAATTTGGGGAAAAAAGTTGTAAAAATCTGTCTGCGTGCCCAAAATATTGGTGAATCTTTTCAAACAAAAAATACACAGAAGAGGAACCACATATTTTTTTCTCTTTCATAAAAACTTGCTTGAACAAAACGGTTGCATTCTCACCTAGTGCAGCCATTCTTGGCACAATATGTCCCCTTGGTACATGGTAAGCACTCTGAATGACCTGCTAATCCTTGGAATGTCCCTGCTTGACACAGAGTACAGTTCACAGTCCTCGTGGTGTCCGACGACGAACCTTGAATCAAGAAGAGCCAATCAGTGCAGTGGATTTGTGAGGTTCTGGGTCGGACCTGTTGCTTCGATGCAAAGAAATGGCTGACAAGACGGACACCCCTTGTTCCCCGGCTTGAGATGATGGTCTTACACATGTAACCCATACATACGATATCGCGGCAAACCAAAGGAATCTTAAGTGAGGACCTTCAAGTGAAAAGCCAGCATCAAGAAGGTGTATAAAGAAAATTGAGGCGGCAATGGCTTAAGGAAATGTGAAGTAGCAAAATCGCCGACTTTGCTATGTAAAGCCACAAGCCAACCCCGACTCCTTATGAACACTTTTCTGACTCCGCTTAAGGAGGCGAATGATTACAGGTCCCCAGCTGGCTACAAATCTGCACTCGGGGGGGGGGATTTCTGTCTCCAGAGATTTCCAAACAGAAATCTGAAATTGTTATCTGTCGTCACTCAGTGTGATGTTAAGATCAAGAATTAAGAAAAGAACAAGTGTGACCAACCATTCCAAAACAGGGCTGAAGGCTTCTTAGCGGTTATCTGGACAATGACGCCAGTCTTAGCAATGTCCACTACTTTCACTGCCTGCGACTACCACAGCTTGATCACTTTGAAGAGCAACAATCAGGAAAAAGAATTGTCTATGCCTATTTCAGTCTGGTTTTGAAGTGGTGAGTCACAATTGACCGTGATGATTAAAAATCCCAGGATGGAAAGGACGGGTTTAGAGTTCTGATAGTGTTAGATTTCACCGATGACTCACCAGGCGGACAGGGCAGGCATACTGCACTACCAGAAACATTGGCATAGGTACCAGTTGGACAATTGGTACACTTGGCGCAGCCGTTTCTCCTGTCACAGTAAAAAATCAATCAAATTCAAAATCAAATCAAGCACCCACAGCCGAATATTGCACCATAGAAGTGAATGGGCATGAGAGGCTGGGCATGAGAGGCTGGCATGAGAGGCTGGGCACGGCAGTGTTCTGCCACACAGGGAGGAGAGTTACACAAAAAGAAGAAAGGCAATGGGCATTATGTCAAGCCTCCACAGACCAGAGTTGTTGTCAAAGCCTTGTCTGAGTCACGAAGCAAACCGAAATATAAGATAAAGAAGTGGGAATCAAGTAATGAGGCAGCATCTAGAGAATGGCGCTAGCTACAGTGTACCTTTACATAATCCACTGGGCTTTAGTATAGCATACGCAATGTTATTCTGATTTAATTTCAGATAGGTGTGATCACTGCTCGTCGTGATTAAACAGGTGATCCGTTGATGAAACAAAGTATCAGGGGACTCATTGAGCATCGGCTGAGTTACCCTAAGATAAGAAGGAATGAAAGTGTCTGCATAGACGTTTTTGCAAAACACTTGGATATTTCTGATATATCTTTTTTGATCAAACAAACAGATTCCTGTTCG